TTAAGATAGAGGTATAAATAAACATAAACGAGAAAAACTTAATCTATCTGCCTTCTGCAGACTATATACTCTCTCTTCCACCATCAAACAACCAGACGTTCCTTATCGACGTACCACGCATTCGAACCAAACAGATTGTTACATATTTCGTCATACGTTACCATTATCTAATCTGTGGTCATGCGTACAGTAATCAGTGAAATACGTTGCTAGCATCTGTCTTTCCATCCGATGACATTCCGCGTATTTACCCAATTGATTTGATATAATATGTTATTATAACTACATGACTGAGTTGTGGTAGGTCTGGGTCAGTGGCGAAGCCTCTATACAAGCCCAGAAGCCCGGCTTGCCTCATTAAGATGAATCAATCAAGTATGTCAAGTAATAAAATAACTCGTAAATTGTTTCAAACTATTTCAAATTTCCAGTATTTTTTATTTAGTAGCCTTACGAATACTGCTGTCATAAATATAAGGAGAGTTGAATTGAGCGATTGCTTTTCTCCCTCGCAGGCGGGGGCTTTTTACCGGGCTTTCGAGAAGGCGATCGCTCCCTTTCTAACCTGTGGCAAAATGTTCTCTAATGAAATATAACTACGAAATGTTTATATAGCTATTACTGGCTTTGCCTTGAAGTTGTTTGGGAGTGCGTTAGCGACTAGCGAATGGGGTGCGGGCCATTCGTATGCAAGTTCACTTCACATTTCAATGTTTATGTTTGTATTTGTTATGTTTGTTAAAAATTTATGCTTTTTCAAAGATTTTAGTATTCATTGTGATGAATATAAGTGTGTTGAAGTGCTAATCGGCGAGGAAAAGGTAAAATCTTTAAAAATGACATTTAATATTCAATAAACATTTCTTTATACTTTAGATATAGGTACAGGACTCTTTAGTATTAAAGTTTAATTAAGTTAGGCGTATTTAAAGGTTTAACAACTCAATATTTATATTACCATATGAATTAAAAATACCGTTTTGAACGGCAGCATAAAATATGAAACACCTAGGTTTAATTTTATAGGAAATAAGTGTTACAATATTTTTTAACGTGAAGCCCAAATTTTAATGTAATAAATCAAAAGAATACAGAAGAATGTATTGAGGTTTTTAAAGAATACTACCTTTAGTTATTTGCAGTATATAAAATTTTAATAGCACCATCTACCTAATTCTATAGGTAAAGTCATTTTATCGAACGAAAATTGGTTGATTCTCACGATGGTACCTAAAGATTACGCTAGATGGCACAAATACGTTATCGGCTAATTTAATATTTATATTACCATATGAGTTTAAAAATATCATTTTGTACGGTTTTATTATGAATTGAATATCATTTAGTACGGTTTATTATAAATTGAAAATGAATAATTATATAATAAATAGTCATTATTTTATGGTAAAAAATTAGCAAAGCTTCTCATTATAACTATCTAATTCCTGTCGTAATCTGTTCTTTTATGCATATAACTTAAACAAAATAATTTCGAGGTTTCACATCTGCCTTTTTTAACTTTGTACATACTTTGTTTGTACTTTGTTCATGCTTTTCTTTTGTTCATGTATTGTATTGTTTGTAAATATCTCAAGCAAACCCAAACGGCTCTTTTCAAAACCACAAAAGGTGTGCAATTGCATATGTCATACAATCTATATAGTGGTAGTATGCTTTCTGTGTGCTTTGTTAAACACGTCCTTGACAGCACTGCATATGAAACTAAAGAGTGAAGACAGCTCAAGATTGGTGAATTTTTATTAAACTGCTAAAAACAACAAAACCATATCTTCGGCTTGCCCTAGTTTGGAGCCCTAGCTTCGCCACTGGTCTGGGTCTAGTAGGACATGCAAAGTAAAGGAAACATTACGAGGAAACCTACTTCGAGGACAACATATTGAAGGACAAGGCAGACAAGTTATTTATTTAGGTAGATATGTCGCAGCCATCTGGCTTAATTAGCCGTTCAATCAACAACCTAGCCCCTTTACGAACTTTGAACGACGCTGTTTCACCCTATTGTACGAATGGCTTAAGCATTAGCCATCCAGTTTATTAAATATTGTAATAAACGCTACGGCTAAATATCATTCAGGCCGCTAGTTGAACGGCGCCGTTTAGTAAAAGAGACTTTTCAGACAAAGGATATTATGTCTTTACAGGTTACATCATTATAAGAAAAAACTTAACAAAATATCTATCTATCTAAGATATATATATATACATATATATATATATATATATATATATATATATATATATATATATATATATATATATATATATATATATATAGATCGCTCACCTAGTAATATATTGACACATCTACGTTTTTCACATTTTACAGAAACGAGCATTAAAGATTTTATAAATGTTAAAATTAATTTATGGGTTAATTCTTCAGGTTATCAGGATATAATTTATAAAGATCAACGAAGTGGAAGAGTCATTAATTTGTGCCGTTGTCACTTTGATCAAATTCCAAAAATGTCATTTGTTCACCCGGAAGCTTGCAAAATCCTGTGTGAAAGGCAAGAAATAAAAGAACTGGTCGATGAAAAATAAACGTTTTATTTTGTAAGAATCACATACAAAAGCATTTGTTCTTAATGTTCAACATTATAATTGTCAATTTGTAAATAAGTATCCTGTATTTGTTAGTCTCTTAGAAAATAATCAAGAACAAATTCTTATTAAAAACGAAATAAAAATGTAAAACTTAACACCACTTTTATCAAAATAAAGTAAAAAGTAAGTTTCAATAAAAAAAACACAAGTACTTAATAGCGTAGTATTAATGGCACTGAATTGAGAAATTGAATTTACAAACTATCTTTTAAGTAAAATCCAGATTCAAATCAGATTTGACTTAATAGATCCAATAGTTTAAGGCTGTATAACTTATCTTTATAGTATCTTAATTAAATGAACAAGCACTTAACTATAATATATAGTAGGAATTTGTTGGATTACCCAGTAGGTGTGCAATAGTTATGAAGTTTTAAATCACGTACCTACCCACATTAATAAAATAAAAAAAAATCAGTCTTTAATTAATACAATAATTATTACTAAGGGCCGGTTTTTCAATCGCCAGTTAACTTTTATTCGACAAATAAGATTGTCATTTTGACAGTTTTTGTATTAACAATCTGTCAAAACGTCACATTTATTCCTAAGGTGAAAGTTATGATTGAATCTAATCGGCCCTTAGGGTCGGTTTCAAGATGTCCGAATTAAACGACTACTCATTGAGCAAATAAAAAAATGAAATGGAATTTGTACAAGGAACTTAAACGTAGGTGGTGAAATGGGCCCTTAACTGTATTTAATTAAAGACTATTATAGAAGCCTTCATAATAGCTGGGCACTATGTCAGACCGAAGTAATTGTATCAAATCTCTTTTCTTTGCATCAGAAATATTCATTTTTGATTGATATGCTGCTTTTAAATTAATTTCTATTGGTTGAGTAACTCTTTTTCGCCCTCGTGCCAATTTAAGTAACTTGGATCCAGTCTCCTTCAAAAGATGTTTTAAATTCATAAGAATCACTATTTTTTGTGAATTTAATCATTGTGAGCTCAGTCACTTTTATTACGAGGGTGGATTGAAAAGTACTCGGCCTAACACAGATCCATTCAATTCTAAAAATAAAATCTACCCACGTTATTTAGTTCAGTTCAGACTAGTTCATTGTGTGAAGTTCGAAACGTGTGCGATAATTAGTTGTGATTTTATAAATTTATTAACAAAGTAATCGGACATAATTTCCGCGAATGGAGCAAATCGAGCAGCGTGCCGTCATTAAGTACCTCCATAAGAAGGGGCTATCATCAAAAGCCATCCATGATGACATGGTCAGTACATTAGGCGATTGTGCTCTGTCATATTCATCTGTCAAAAAATGGATAGCAGAATTTAAGCGTGGTAGAGAGAGTGTGAAAGATGAACCCCGCTCTGAAGGCCTTCGACGTCAACTACTGACGAAAATATTAAAAAAGTACTTGATTTAATAATGGGAGACCGCAGATTAAAAATTAGAGAGATAGCCGAGATTATAGGCATCTCTTATGAACGAACTCAAAACATCATTGTCAACGAGTTGGGTTTCCACAAGGTGTCTGCGAGGTGGGTTCCGCGACTGCTTTCAGTTGAACAAAAAAGGACGCGATTGACTATTTCACGCGACTGTTTGGAGTTATTTGAAGCCGATGCAGATGATTTTTTGAATCGTTTTGTTACTATGGACGAAACATGGGTTCATTACTGTACACCGGAAACAAAACAACAATCAAAACAGTGGAGAAGACCTGGTTCACCACCCCCTAAAAAGGCTAAGTCGATTTTGTCGGCAAATAAGGTGATGGCTTCAGTATTCTGGGACTCGAAAGGTGTGATTATGATTGATTATCTTGAAAGAGGTCAGACTATAAACTCTGATTACTACTGCACCTTACTACGTCGTTTACGAGAGGAAATAAAAGAAAAACGTCGAGGAATGCTCAGAAGAAAAGTCCTGTTTCATCAAGATAACGCCCGTGTTCACACGTTAGTACAGTCAATGGCTGAACTGTGGCTTTGAACTGTTACCGCATCCGCCGTATTCACCTGATCTGGCACCATCAGACTTCTTTCTGTTCCCTAACCTAAAAAAGCACTTGGGAGGTCAAAGATTTTCGACAAACGACGAGGTCAAAGCAGCTGTAGACGCATATTTTGACTCTAAGGAAGAATCATTTTTTTTCAACGGTCTAAATGCTTGGAAGGGGAGGTGGCAAAAGTGTATTGAACTTGATGGTGATTATGTAGAAAAATAAAAATATTACTGATTTAGTATGTGTTTATTTTCTTGGTTAGGCCGAGTACTTTTCAATCCACCCTCGTATGTCTGCATTATCGTCTTTATGGAAATTAATTGATAGCTCATCAGCCAGTGCTTTCACATCATAAAAGCGTATTGATCTGGCACGTAGATGGGTCCAGATTTTTTGGCTCTTTTTATTTCTCAATGAGAGAATGCGCATTATCGCCTTCATTTTGACTGTGGCCGCTGATTAAAAATTTATGGCACACAGAATTTATCGCTAATTTTTCGAAAGCATAGCAGTACATGCTGAACACAAATCTAAAAATATAAACCATTAATCAGAAATTAAATGAAACACGAAGAATATTTTATAAAATATTCGACATCACCAATTATTTAAACGTACCGGTTCTTTTGTTGACCACAACAATTATCGCTGTAGAAAATGACATCAGAATCTGGATATTCTTCAGCAACGCGCTCTAGAAACTTGTACACGCAAGTTCCTATTTCTATAGAACCTTTAGAACCCAAGCCCTCGTGCCAAAATTAACAAGTAGTTGAATCGTTCTTAATATGTGTTATCTGAAATAAAATGCATAAATTAGTACCTACATTAAAGAGTTACATACTCACTTATTATTTAGTAGGGTTATCGTGAGGTTGTAGCAGTTCAACTTGGACTTATAATAAAACGCTGACGAGTTGCCGATGAGCACAGGCAACTGTGCTTGTAAGTCATACATATATCGCTACTATAACTTTGCTCTCTTGTTCACGGGAAAGTGCAATGTCTGCCGCTTTTTCTGTACGACTTAACATTTTCTCTCTTTGGTGTCATACTGTTGTTCCAATTCCGTTTTTTTAACACCTTCTGCATTTTTATATGATTCGCAAAAATTATATTGATCCTTTTTGGGTATGAAGAATGAAATATTAAATTGAGTGTTAAAATCTGGCTGTACATGTACAATGTAGCAGCTTCTTTACCAGCACTTCTGCGCTGGCATTCATAGTTGCGATGTAAGGCTGCCAAGGTTAGTCCACCATCAATAAACTCGCGGCTGGTATTGCACGTAAATAATGACTTTCAATTCTCGGAACTGTATTTATATGCTGGTGAACTGATTCTAGCACTTCTGGATCTGATTTCGGTTGATTACCATGTCTACCTCTTTGGTCAGTCGCAAGGCGCAATTCCAGACTCAGAGGTTTTTGCTTCAATTACTGTACGTAATGTCCGTTGTGCTATTCCAAGGGTATTTAACAAAAACGTGTTGCATATTCTGGGGGTCTGGCCATTTTTCATAAAAGAAAACAAACAATTAGGTGTTCTTTGTTTTGCTGGATTTTTTACACGACGACATATTATGTTTGGTATGTTAATGCAAGCACTGAGAAAATCTCTTTGACGTTGCAAAGATCCTAAAGCCCAATAACAATCAAATATTTGTTGACGTTCATCTGTTGTAAAGTTATCGCAGCAAGAAAACTTGCAGTTACGGCACGAGGGTCTCATTTTTTTGGCTTCTATTTGATTGCCTGTTTTAGATGAATACTCCTTTCCTAAATTTTTCAAAGTTTTTCTGATATTTTGTTTCCACTTATTTGGGTATCTGATTCTTTTCTTTCCTCTTTTGATAGAAGAAACTATAGACGAACTCGTAGATGACGATCTGTCACGCCTTGGTGGTTGATATTCGTCACCACTACCTGCAGAAAAGTCTGAGCCTTCATTCAAGTAGATAGAATGAGAACTTGGCTCTTGATTTTCTTTACCTAGAATTAAGATTAAATAAAATCGAAAGTTCGAAAAAAAAAGAAAGTTGGGTAGTGAACAATAATGAAAATTATGCGTACCAAGCTCAGCAGAATCATGGTCTTCAATATTGCTAGCTGTCGCATCGAAATGTGACGCGATTTGTATATCCATTTATTGGTTCAGTGTATTTTCAGTGTTACGAGTATTTGTTTGAAGTATCGTTGGTGACGATAATCTACTTCCAGCGATACCTATTCAACAATAAAAAATAATCAAGGAGAAGAACAAGAAATAATTTTAATATGCAAATTAAATCCAGCAGCTAAATGTTAATAATAATAAACATTATTGATTTGTTAGTAAAAATATTTAGAAATGTAATCTATGTCTATAGAAAACAAATAAAGGAAAAAATAACCATCATACCTTCATGAATAATTTCTTCATATTGTACAATATTTTCACCGATAGTTTGTACCCCAGCGTTAACAGTATCAGGAATAGGAATCAAGTTTTCGTGCATACCAAGTATTTCATAATCGACATAGGTATCATCCAGCAAAGAATCTGCAAAGTAACATTATTATTACATACTGTTACGACTTGAAATGCAGCTAGAGGTCGTAAACTGAAAGACTTACACGACTTTCGATTTAGTCTCAAGTAATTTTAAGAAATTGTATAAACAAAAGTATGAATATGTATGAAAAAGGATTTAGATCGTTTGTGCTTTTTTGGCACCACTGATTGATCTTATCCTTTAGCATTACCTAAATATAAAAAAATCATCTTTATCAAATGATTTGATAATACAATTACATACCGTCGTCGCAAATAGTATTAATTTCTTGAATATTTATTTTATCTGAAGGATTGTGATTTAAAAGTGGTAATGTTAAAACTGTTTCGGAATCGGTAATGGTCTATGCTATAGGTTCAGTTATAATATTATTATCAGTCTCTTCAACGATGACGTTTCCGCTACAAAATACAAAAAATGCTTTATGATAATGAAGGTGATTCGCATTTTTTGTTTTATATAAAAATCGTAAATCAAAACACAAAAGACGTATAATGTAGTCATCATTATTTGTTTAATTATTTTGTCCAACAATCGAGAAAGGATACGTACCGCTTATATTTAAATTAGGATTGGGTATAGAAAAAGGTGGTGGAACTAAACCATCTTTTCCTAGTTGTACCTATCGCTTCATTCGATTCGGCATTATTTCAGTATTAAAATCGTTTTTTTCTAAAATAGCAAATTGTAACTTATTATTTTAACAAACACAGTAGTTAGAAGGTAGGTCAGACCACCCTAAACAAGTAACGCTCTCATACCCATTTTGAATATTTATAATAATTAGTTAGTTGAATCTAGTTTTAGAGTTGCCCGACCTTCCTTTTAACCCAAATAATTATCCATCCACCATTGAACTTATGACATAAGTACCATTACGCTTGATTTAATGTAATTAAAACGGCACATCAGTCAAATAAGTAGCAATAAGTTCCCGACAATAATAATTGAAACGGCACATCTGTTAAATATGTCGTTTTTTTACTACCATTTAAGCATTAAGTATAAAAGCGATGTCACATTTGTCAAATGTGCCATTTTTTTAATTATTAACTTAATTTACGAAAGTCACAATTGTTACTTACGTCAACGCAGTTCTGGAAGCGGCTGCACCTAGCGGAGAGGCCCGCACAACTGACCAATGAGCCGTTGTTTTACGTGGATGCGGGGGGAAACAGCAATAATGGTATAATGACACTAACGACCTCTCTCGATGAATACGGAAACTAGCGTTGTGCCGTTTTACCATTATGTAGATTATGCACTTTTAAACATGTATGCCGTATAAACTCAATTTCACATTTTTTGCAGATGTGCCATTATATTACTAGGTGAGCGATATATATATATATATATATATATATATATATATATATATATATATATATATATATATATATATATTTTGACCCTTTTGATTATAATCGGGAATGTCACAAAGTCTGATGGCATCTCACTAGTTGGATTAAAAAATTAATTTCCCTGTTTTTCACCTTAAGGGGTAAAAATATTCCTTAAAGCAAACCACCCCTAAACTATAACCTATTTCGTAGAAATGAATCATTAAAATCGGTTCACACTTGACTAACATACCAAAAAAAGGACTTGCAGCCGAATTGAGAACCTCCTCTTTTTTGAAGTTGAATATATATATATATATATATATTATATGCATATGTAATAAGCGGAATCTCGGAAATGGCTCCAACGATTTTCATAAAATTTAGTGTCCAGGGGGTTTCGGGGGCAATAAATCGAACTACCTAGGATTCATTTTTAGAAAATGTCGTTTTATCTATGTTTTCAGGCAATGAAAAACTGCTACAATAGCATTAGAATAAGAAGATAAATTTTGACAATGCGTCAATGATTATAATGGGATATGGCCCGTCACGCAATCGTGGTACCCTGGTTCGAGTCCACATGCATGTCTTAACCGACTTTCTTTACTTTTTTTTCAAGTTCCCTTCTTTTGTGAGAAACTATTATTTCGAGCCCTTTTTTAAGTATTTTTTTAAAAACACGAATAATTTGATTAAACTGAAAACCAGTTCAGTTTTTTCTATTATGTCGATAAGATCAAAAAATATTTGATCAGTATGTAATTTGTATCTAAATATAATTTCCAAAAAAAATACCCAGTTAAGCTCGGTCATCCAGGTACTAAAAACTAAAACAAACAGAAATCAAACTATTGAATGAAGCTATTTATACGGATTTTATCGTGTAGTAACTTATTTTTAATTCCTCCCATGTCGTATCCATGGTCACGTGGGAGGCGGGAGACAGATATATTTGACGTCCCAACATCGTTCCAATGTCCATACTCCATAGTTAGCTGTAAATTAGGGGGTAATCTGTTGCTGTAAAGCATCCGAAACGCCGAGAATTAAAAATAAGTTAGCTAAACGCGATAAAATCCGCATAAATAGTTTTATCCAATTTGTTGTTTTCACATATATATAAGAAATCATTATAGAAATCAAACTAATGAAAGTAAAAGCACCACATCTAATAATATTACAATAAATAATAGTTTAGTATCAGAAAAAGGCAGGTAGAAGTAATTCTTTACATTTTCTTTTAATACACGTTTAGGGTCGCTTACTTGCTCAATAACCTTTAAGAAAAAAGAGAAAGTTTTTGCCCAGGACATTAACGTTTAGAGGCTGTAATAATATTACGGCTACTAAGTGATAATAAATAGTAATTCGGATGTAAGTAGTATTTACTTATATCCGCAGAAAATAAATTTAGAATCTGGAGTTTCTGTCGTATGTAATTTTGATAAAATGTCAAGAATGAACATAGTATTGAAACATATGTTGTTTTTAACCAGTTAGTTAGGTACTTTTGTCGGGCATTAAGGAAAATCATTTGACAATTACACATTTCAATGGTGTTACCTTTATTGAAAGTGGAACTGACCTTATGAGTCTTAAACAAAGCAGCAAAAGATGTAGGATAAATTATTTAAATTTTTTATTTCAATTGGAAATTGTAACTAAACTTCATATACTTAGAGTGCACGTTTATCTGAGAAGTTGCTAAACAAAGAACTCATTTATAGTTAGCAAAGATGGCGAGGATATCTGTGTCAAAGATGTTTGATTTAATTTATAGATTTGACGACTCCGTGGCGTAGTGGCTTAGCAATGAGTGGCTGAGCTTGGGGTCGCGGGTTCGAATCCCGCACGGAACAAGTATTTGTATGGCCTATAAATAATTGTTCCGGGTCTGGATGTTTGTCCTTGTGCAATTTATGTTTGTAACCTGCCCCCACGATACAGGAGAAAATCCTAGTGTAGGGGAGGGGTAACGTTTAAAAAAATAGATCGTAGCCCATTTTGGTAGATTTACATTGATTTGAGTATTTCGATCGTGAAAATAACAGTGACAAAGCACTTGCAAACACAGTGGTATGCTCCCGTCCAAATCTACCTGTGTTCAATCTAACGCATAAGCGATAAGATTGGAGATAGGTCGGGATCGTGGTACATGGTGACAGTCAGACCCCAAAATCAACAACTTACGTTTCAGTACGAATGTTGAAAATGGCTGGCCAGAATAAACCATCAGTTGCTTCAGAATGCACCATTGCCACGTGCTATACACCATGTAAATATCATCTCACAGGATATTGACATATTTGCATGTAGTGAGACGAAATTCATAATTGCAGCATACAAATGCGTTGAAAATTGTAATGTTTTTAACAAGAATTTCATTTTACCATTAATTTGATAGATTTCATATTAGATATCATTATTTATTAGACAGTAGTTTAATGCGATGCTATAACTAATCTATAGCTATAACTGTTTGGGAAGAAAGGTTTTTACTCGTAAGTAGCAGACTTGTGCCAGTAAGCTAATTGTAAGGTGATCACTCTACTAGATGGTGTGACAACTTGATAAGAGATGCAAGAGTTTGATGCGTGCAGAGGGCTCCGGAACATGCTTTGTGCATTCCTTGAGGTAGGCCTCTGTTGAGCAGTGGACTTGTGAAGATTGTAATGAAGATATTGATGCTGATAACGAATCTTGGTTACGGTTAGAATTCGAATCTAGATCCCCGGAGTAGGAGCCATGTAATATAACCATAGGATTACGTGTCGTATTATACTTGTCCATTATACGTAATATAACTTACAAGTATGCAGTAGTTCTAGAATTGATAATTGAATAATGGGTCGAGAGCTCGTTCGTTTATGATTTTCATAGTATACTGTACATAGTAAACTGAGTTTGGTTTATAATTAAGCTTTGGAATAACGACTTTTAACGTCATTTTATATAATAATTGTTAGTGCGTCTGTTAACCATTTGGTGCCGGTGTCAGAATATCCATTAACTCATAACGTCCCGTGGATGTCTTAGGTGACGACAGAGGAAACCTGAAACAGGATATGGGCAGCAGCATCTTCCTAATAACAACTCAAAATTTTATATATTTTTTTAAACTTATACCCATAGAGGATGAGGCAATCTATGTACGAGGCCTATTTTCAGCAGTGAACTATTTACTTTTTTAACACCCATTTAATGTGGATAAAGGTAATTGATTCATAAAATTCAGAAAAGTGCTTCAGCGATACATTCCAATATTATCCTTACTCTTTATGCTATTTTATTTTCATACTTTTGGAAGTAACGGTGCTCCATTTTAATAAGCGACTTCGAAAAAAAGCAATTCAACGTATAATGTGACGCAAACTGGAATTCCCACAAAACAGGTTACTCTTACTCCTTATTTATTCCACATGACGCATCTTTTTTTGTTCGACGATCAGCCAATTAATTTCTAAAAGAATGCTTCCGTATTTTAGAAAATATTGGCGGGTTTATCCATGCCAAACGATCTGTAAACAGTCACATTCATGTATTAAACTGATAAATTAATAAATACAGCCTATTCTACGGAATTTTCTAACTCATATATAGACGTATTTATGTGGTAGAGCCACGCCGCAGCTTCGTTATGGTTATATCAGAATTTCTTGACAGATTTTTTAAATCATTGTGACCACTAGATCAACGACTATAATGGTGTAAGAGTATAGTTGTCACTCATGATAATACTTAAAAAAAATTGTTTGTGCAGTTAAAACGAAACATTTCTTTCATCTATTTTTTGTAAATGTTTAAATAATAATAATCTATTTCAACTAAAAAAACGACGAAGTTTTGAGCCAAATTAAAAGTAGAAGATCTAATTATTTTAGTAAGTAATTTGTATTCATAGTAACATTTGCGTCATGATCATATTTTGAGCCATGCTGCAGCTATATATTATGGTTATAGCACGAATGGTCGGCTCGACCGGGGTAGGGTCACGCTCTCACGGAATACCAGCGTGAAATAGCAACTTATTGCTGCAATGTTTACTATGTAAAGAATCTGAGACCCTTTTTACTAGAAGTGATACGTTCTATCTTAGTCCTCAATGGTGATAACGTAGCTGCATTTCATTCTTTATCGAGGTTGAGTTTAGATGTCTAGGGGTCACAACATCCACTTACTATCTGATAGAACGTGTGTTCACCCTTATTCTACATTTATAATCTACATTTAAAAAATCTGCTCAACAGTTGCTTCGCTTTTGCATTTTAATTCTTAATTGAGGATTGATGTAGATGTCTTTGGGACATAGCGACCAGTTACTACCAGGTCGACTGTGTGCTCGCTTTAACAAACCACGTAAACACCCTTTAATCTGACAAAAATACCAATTATTTTAAAATGAACTTATGTTACATGTACTGC